AGTGATATTTTTGTGGCATCCATTACTTTTAATGCTACAAAAGAACGGTACATGCTTATTTAAAAAAGAACATATCAATAAAATCTACACAAAATGCTCTATCTTTTAGCATCAGAACCCAACCTTCTGATCAAGTCTAATTTGAGAAAAAAGCCTATCAAAAACCGGCAATTTAATCTGCCGTACCCGTTAGAAACAAATTCTCAGATAATGGTTCACATTTGCAGCCCTTACATACTTTTATTTTTATTTTAAACGCATTTTCTGTTCTTGTAACATTCGCACTTCCTGTTCAGGATCAAAGTACAGATATGCACTAGTTTCTTCTCGTTTAGTTATGTGCTGCGCACAAAATATGCAAGGAAGATTTCGACTGAACACCCGCTAAACCGAAGACATAAAGGGCATCATTTATCAAGTCTCCTCACAATAGGTTTATAGCAAAGCGGTTCGAAACGACTGAATAACTGGAGAAAGATATGAGCCTTAAGTTTGATTATTAAAGCGATGAACAATGTGACGGCATCCCTAAGCCCGAGCCCGTGAAATTTTTTTCTTGCCCCAAGCCTATGAGCTCAAGCGCGTAATTTGTTTTTTGTCCCGACCCCATGTGTCCCACGGGACGGGACAGACGGAATGGGATTCGGGGTTACCCCGCAGAAGTCTACCACGGAGACCATGTAACTAAAAACCAAATGGGAAACATATTCAGATGTAACAGAATTTGTCTCTCTTGTTTCAATCGTTTATTTCGTTTGTGAGATTTCTTTTTCTGCACAAAACCTATAATGACTGATAGAAAACTGACGAGAACAATGACGTATGGAAGGAAAGTGATCAATAAGTTCATAGGTATAATAAAGTGATGGGAATGAAATACAGCATATTAAGCAGAGATAATGCAGGTAAAACGCAATCGATCGCGATTGTCTGAACATGAACGGTTTCTGTACGAGAAAAAAGCGTTCGACACTCAATTGAGCGGTCAGAAAGTGAATCATTTGAGTTGGAATATAATCCCAATAGACTGTGATGTTACAGAGGAACGTGGATTGATATGGTTTGCAGCCATTATTGAAGTAATAATACAAGCGTAGAGGTCCCTGAATAACCGCCAGCAGAGCTCTGACGATGCAACTCAAAATAAGTGAGTAATTGTTAATAGTGAATATTATTCTATTGTAGAGAAGAGTGATAACAATAGCATATTTAATATTATTCCCGATAAAATGGTAAAAGAGCCGATAATGAACAGAGCATTGTACATCGGGAATAATTCATAGTTCAAGTCGTCCACATCATGACACATTGATCCATTCATTGTTCAGACTTACAAATTAATTATGATAGAATAAAATAACGACAGCATTATTGAAAGAGTAGTGCCATGAATCTTGTTGCAGATGGAGAAAAAAGAGATGTGACTGAAATTGAGGATGACACAAAGAAAAGATGAACTAGTTCAGAAATGAAGTTTGAAAGAGATTCGCCAATCAAATAGTATTTCTTCCACTCTTTTCTGCTTTTCAGTGTGAATTTCAGCTACATCTCTTGTTTTTCCTGCTGCTATTCTCTATTTGGATTTATGGCATCGATGTCTCACTGATTATAACTCTAAAAACTAAAAAACATGCAACAAACAAAGAACTAAACAGCGTGCAAGCTCGATTGAAGCCAGTAGTGTTAGAAATATACTTTATCATAATT